TTTTTTTTTTTTTTTTTTTTTTTTTTTTTTTTTTTTTTTTTTTTACTCTCTTTTCTTATTTTTTATTTATTTATTATTATTATTATTATTATTATTATTATTATTATTTTCCTAGGTTTTAAACTTTTTGGCTGAGCAAGTTGTGGAAGTGAGCACGAAAAGAAAACCACAAACAAAAAGGTTGATCATTGAGCGAAAAAAAAATTGGGGTGTTTACATTATTGTTGGATTTATTGTTTTTGTTGTTATTAAAGAAGAAATTCTAGACAAGTCTAATTAGTGGAAGAAATTTTTTGGGGGAAATACTTGGGGAAAATACTTGGGGGGAGATATAACGAGTGAATGAATAACATCAGTTCGGTATATCACCGCAATCACCGCAATTAGCATAGCCTCTAATGCTTACGTCACGGGTTCATTGTTAACTAAGCATAAATAGAAAACAAAGGAAAACCCCATTTAAAACATTCTATCAACCGATTAAAAATCCGCCCATTTATTCATGACACCCCCCTTATCCCCCCATTTTTATTCCATTTTGTACTATATTTGGTAGTTTACGTGTGATCACATTTTATTTTATTTATTTTAATTGGTAATAAAAACAAGGTGATTTTGGCCTATCAGATAGATTTGTATAAATGTTGTATATCTTGTATATCCATCCGATTGGACAATACTTTAATTATAATTACTAAAATTATTAAATCTGGGGATTTTTTTTTTTCCCTTTTAAATTTTTGGAATTTTCTTCTATTCAATAGCAAAATCCCGTACGTGCGCATGCGTACGTGCGTGCGCTACGCTGCGTTGCGTTACGTTACGTTAAAAGTTAAGCTGTTTTAATCGGTCCGAAATTCTAAAACCTTTGTTAAAAAAAAAACATCATCGGAATTATCAATTTTAATAAAATAAAAATCCCTAATATAGGAAGATATATTATAACACTATACTGTACTTGTTTAATGGAATAAATGCACAATGAAATTGTATGCACGTTGGCTAAGATAATCATCATCATTGCCAACTTGCATACATTTCGGTATTCTGCTTAGAACATCTGTTTTAATTATTTATTTATGAAATAAACTGATCAAAAAAGAAAAAATATCCATCTACAAATAAATATTGATTGATTGATTTTTTTTTTTTTTTTTTTTGTAATCGATGATTTCGGAATTATTATTATAATTATTATAATTTCTTTTACGGAGTCCATTGTTATATGATATTATAATTATTTGGGTTTATTACGTTATTTTTACTAATTTTAATTTCATTTATTTATTGATTTGGTAATGAAAAGAAATACCAAGATTTTAATGATTTTAATCGGATTTTTATTATCCGAAATGTTTTTTTAGGGACGAATAAAAGTAAAAAAAAAAATTTTTTCATTTCTATTTTTATTTTTACAATAATAATCAAATGACCTATCAACCGTAAATAATGAAAGAATAAATATGAAATGCGTGGAAAAAAAAACAAAAGCTTATAAATGATTAAATAGAAAAGTATGGAAACTTTTTTTAATAAAATGAATTACACTATTACAAGTGTTTCAGTAACAGTAAACATTCCGCAGCAATATTCATTTAAACATTCAGTCATTCATTTTAATTTGTAAAACGATTAAAATTTTGTTAATTAGGTATATTTGATATTTTGTAATTTGTATTATCTCATTTATTATTAATTATATATTAAAATGTATTATCTGTTATTCTTTAAAGACTTTGTTAAAATTTTGTTAAAAAAAAATTTTTTAAATATTGAAATTGATGATCAGTTATTTTTTTTTTATTTCTTTTCCAATGATTTTGTTTTTAAAATATAGCAAAAGATTTAGTTTATAATTATAAAGAAATGGGTTATTACAGTTATTATAAAAAAAATAAAAAAAAATTTACATAAGTTTCAATATGTACTATAAATTTTGATATTTATTTTATATTTACTAATTTGAAATATTGCATAACATTTAATATATTAAAAATTTAAATATAATATAGTTTTATGTTTTATTATTTTTCCAATTAAACTAATTTTATAAAATATTGGAAAATACCTGAAAATTTGAAGAATTTAAAGAATAATTTATTTATTATTAAAAGTAAAATTATTAAATTTCAGTAATATATTAAAATTTAAATATCATATAATTTTATAGTTTTATAATTTAGTATTTTTCTAATTAAATTAATTTTATAAAATATTAAAATATTGGAAATATCTGAAAATTTGAAAATTTGAAGAAATAATTTATTTAATATTAAAAAGTAAAATTATTAATTATATTATTATATCAATTGAGTTGGATTCAGTACAGTCTGAAAATTCATTAAATGAAAATCACATTATATCAAAGTGTTATAGAGTGGGAAAAAAAGCTCAAGATCAGATGAGTTTACTAATTAGTAATAACTGGTGGTATAGCTGGGCATATAAGAAAACAAAAAATATTATTAACAATGTTATAATAGATCTAATAACAACATAATTAATTTTACTCTGAACTTAAATTCATTAATTTTGAAAGGAAAAAAAAAAAAAAAAAAAAAA